GTCAATCTGAGCAAAGGATTTCTTTCTCAATTACCCTCAAAGCTGTCGAGACACCATCCTGGGAGATATTACGAATCATACACGAGCATTTGCATCAACATTTCACTTATCAGCTAAACTCAACCACACAAACATGTGAATACTTAACCAGTATAGAATATGACTGACGAAAATTACCTCTGTCGATATTCTATCAGCAATCTGTGTCGCACGCGATCTGACCTCAGTAGACAACGCATAATTAATTGCACTGACAATCACATTAGCAGCTTTTGATATGCACGTGTCGTCATCTTCATCCGGGACCAAGCAAGATCGATCCAATGGGTCGGGGGCAACACCAAGCCAACACATCCTCTCGGCCCAATAAAATTGATCGAGAATAAATGGACAGATGACCTGTCACCGACCCGTGGATTTAATATGTAAATACAACACACATGAAATCGTGTTTGCGGAAAAAGTAGCCCTCATGACAAATAAATATTATGCTTCCTCAAGTGATTAAATTTTAAATGGAGCTTTTCAAACAAACCTGAGGAATTCCTGCACGTAAAGCCACCGCAGTAGATCCGCTGATAACAAGAGTTCGCAATTGAAAAGAATGATAACAACTTCAGGATTTACTCGAACAGTATTTCTTAAAACTTCAAAGTGAAGATGAGACAAGATATAAAACCTTCCACCGTGATGAATGGCAGCACAACATCTTGGAAATAGCCAGCTATATGGCACAGCACTGTATGCATGAAAAAAAAAAAAAAAAAAACAAAGAAAAAAGGATATCATCTTGATGAAAAATTGTGGACAGCATAAGCATAAATACAAGAAGCATAAAAGGCAAAAATTCAATTTTGGTCTGCTAACTTGTCCATTGTCCACTTTTGGTCTGCTAACTTGTCCCTCATCAGAAATGGTCCATTATGTTACATTTTTCATCAGATTTGGTACACTACTTCAGTTGGCGGGATTACGAGATGACGTGGACCGGGATTGGAACTACGTGGAGGGATAAGATGTTGACGTGGTAGGATAAATAACTGATTTGGCATCTCGTAATCCCGGGCCACGGGATTAGCGTACTAAAACTGATGAAAAATGTAACATAATGAACTTTTTTTGATGAGGGACAAGTTAGTGTACCAAAAGTGGACAATGGACAAATTAGCGTACCAAAATTGAATTTTTGCCAAGCATAAAATATACGCATGGGAAAGAATCAATAGGCTTAAGCCAAACTTTTATGAATGATTTTCATAGAAGGAATATGAAGGATACACACGTCCTACAACTAAACCACATTAGCATATTAATAAAGAGAGTTTCTTCCTCATTTATCGAGTTACTATTCAAATAAAACATCAAAACTTTCTTATGTTTAATTTATATTGGACACAAACATTTCTGGAGCACCCTTACGTGACTTTCCCAGACAAACATTTTAATATATGTACAATATATTATAGATACACAAAACAAACATTTTAATATATGTACAATGGAGGAGGGTTGTGATAGGCTTGGCGAGCCAACATAAAACCTAGTCATTCTATGGAGATGACACACAATAGATATTCGTTGGGGCATAACCCTCTTAGCGACGCGCCATATCGGAACCCGGGTATGGTGTCAAATGGGCAAGGGCCTGGTCGTCTCCCCCTTGGGGACGCGCCATGCCGTGGTTTGAGCATGGTGTTGAGTGAGCAAGGACCGGGTCGTCATTTCCTTAGTGGCGCGCTACATCGGCGCCCGGGTGTAGTGGAAAATAAGCAAGGGTCTTCGCATCTCTCTCGACGAGTGCGAAGAGCAAGGAAACTAGTCGAACCAACTAGGGTCCGGATAGGTAGTTGGAACGTAGGGTCCCTAACGGGTAAGCTACGTGAGCTAGTCGATGCAGCTACTAGGAGGCGTGTAAATATCCTATGCGTCCAGGAGACTCAATGGAAGGGGCAGAAGGCGAAGGAGGTGGAGGATACTGGCTTCAAACTTTGGTTTACTGGGGCTTCATCGAGTAGGAATGGAGTTGTAGATGTTAGGAGGCAAGGCGACCGAATTATCCTAGTCCGATTGGTAGTTGGGGATGTGACCATGAATGTGATCAGTGCCTATGCCCCTCAGGTAGGTCTTAGTGAGAGTGCCAAGAGGCAATTTTGGGAGGATCTGGACACCTTGTTCAGTACGGTGCCTACGAGCGAAAAGCTCTTCGCAGGAGGGACCTAAACGGCCATGTGGGCGCGACTAATGTAGGTTTCGAGAGAGTGCACGGAGGGTTTGGGTATGGTAGTAGGAACGAAGAGAGAGAGGGTGTGTTGGACTTTGCGATGGCCTACGCCTTGTTGATAGCGAACACCCTCTTTATGAATATGGAATCTCACCTAGTGACCTTCCATAGTGGACGACACTCAAGTCAGATCGACTTTATCCTTGCAAGGAGGGAGGATATACGCGCTTGCGTAGATTGCAAGGTGATACCTGGGGAGTGTGTTGCCCCCCAGCATAAGCTGGTGGTGGCGGACTTTCGATTCCGAATACGTGTCCACCGGGAAAAACGTGCCAAGACCGTGAGAACGAAGTGGTGGAAGCTTAAAGGGGAAGCGGCGCAGACGTTTAGGGATATGATGCTAGGCGAGGGGCCTTGGGAAGAAGGAGAAAGATGCAGATGACATGAGGCTAAAGATGGCAACATGTGTACGGAAAGTGGCTGCAGAAGTACTTGGTGTGAGTAGGGGAGACAAGCAGGACGCGAAAGGCACTTGGTGGTGGAATGACGAGGTGCAAAGGACTATTCAGGAGCGTCTCCACCTTGACAAGAGTGCAACCAACATTGAGAGCTATAAAATAACGAGAAGAGCTGCAAAGGGTGCCGTGAGTGTAGCGAAGGGTCAGGCCTATGATGACCTTTATCAGCGCCTATGCACGAAGGAGGGGGAGAAGGACGTTTATAGGATAGCTAGAATTCGGGAGAGGAAGACAAGACATCAACCAAATCAAATGCATCAAGGATGGGTCGGATCGGCCACTAGTGAAGGATGTGGAGATCAAGGACAGATGGCGAGAGTACTTCGACAAATTGTTTAATGGGGAGAGTGAAGGTCCTACCCTGGAGTTGGTTGACTCATTTGAGGATACCAATAGACACTTGGTGAGGAGAATCCGAGAGGCAGAGATCGGAGAGGCTATGAAGAGGATGAAGGGTGGTAAAGCAACGGGCCCTGATGGTATCCCCGTTGAGGTGTGGAGATGCTTGGGCGCCAGAGCGTTAGTATGGCTAACTAAGCTTTTTAACCTCATCTTCCGGTCAAACAAGATGCCTGATGAATGGAGGAGAAGTACTTTAGTACCGATCTTCAAGAACAAGGGTGATGTTCAAAGCTGTGGTAACTACCGTGAGATTAAGTTGATGAGGCGTACGATGAAGCTCTGGGAGAGGGTTATCGAGCATCGCCTACGACGAGTGACGAGTGTGACCCAAAACCAATTTGGGTTTATGCCTGGAAGGTCGACCATGGAGGCGAGTTCCTTGATACGACAGTTGATGGAGAGATATAGAGACCAAAAGAAGGACTTGCACATGATCTTTATCGACCTTGAGAAGGCTTATGACAGAGTACCGAGGAATGTCATGTGGTGGGCCTTAGAAAAGCACAAAATTGCATCTAAGTACATTACCCTTATCAAGGATATGTACAAGGATGCGATGACGTGTGTCCGAACATGTGGGGGCGACACCAGCGACTTCCCAATTAAAATAGGACTACACCAGGGGTCAGCATTGAGCCCTTATTTATTTGCCTTGGTGATGGATGAGGCCACAAGGGACATACAAGGTGATATCCCTTGGTGTATGCTCTTTGCTGATGATGTGGTGCTAGTTAAGGAGAGTAAGACATGGGTAAATAGAAAGTTAGAGCTGTGGAAGGACACGTTAGAGTCACTTAGTAGGACAAAGACCGAGTACATGACGTGCGCTTTCAGCATGACTGCTCATGATGATGGTGACGTTAGCCTTGACGGGCAAGTGGTGGCCAAGAAGGAGACTTTCCGATATTTAGGATCGATGCTACAAAAGGACGACGACATTGATGAAGATGTTAGGCATAGAATTGCAACCGATTGGTTGAAATAGCGTCAAGCTTCAGGCGTTCTTTGTGATAAGAGGGTGCCACAAAGGCTAAAAGGTAAGTTCTATAGGACGGCGATTCGTCCGGTGATGCTATACGGTGCTGAATGTTGGCCTACAAAAAGGCAACATGTCCAACAACTAAGTGTAACAGAGATGCGGATGTTGCGTTGGTTTTGCGGGCACACAAGAATGGATAAAATTCGGAATGAGGATATTCTAGATAGGGTCGGGGTGACTCCAATTGAGGAGAAATTGGTTCAACATCGGCTGAGGTGGTTCGGACATGTCAAACGGAGGACTCCTGATGCACCGGTGCGTAGGGGAGTTCTACAGCAGGCCGATGATGTTAAGAGAGGCAGAGGTCGGCCTAAACTCACTTGGGAAGAGTCGGTTCAGAGAGACCTTAAAAATTGGAATATCTCCAAGGATTTAGCGGTGGATAAGAGCGCTTGGAGGCTAGCGATCAACGTGCCGGAACCGTGACTTTTGCTCCTTTCTCTTTTGCTTCAATCTCTACCTTTTGTTTTGTTTTTTGTTTTGAGTTTTGTTTTGTTTTTGTTTTGAGTTTTGTTTTGTTTTGAGCCCTTTTTTTGTGTATTTGTTTCTCTTACCACTGTTTCTTTTGGGTTTCATCTCTAGCCTACCCCAACTTATTTGGGACTAAAAGGCTTTGTTGTTGTTGTTGTAACAGGGAATCGCAAACTAAAGAATAATAAAACTATTGACAATACGTCACAAAGGAAAAAATACAAAGAGATAAATATGGACCTACAAGTTAATAAAAAGACGTCTAACTTTGTTTTTTATAATTAATCAAGAAATACAATTGTGATTTTATTAAATTGTAGAATTATATACTCGATTAGCTTGATCCCAGTTAATTGAAGTTAATTGAGAACTATATGGACCTTTAGTTTAAGGTGAAAAAAACTGAGAATAGAGAAGTCAAAAAAATGCATGAGAACAAATCTTAATGTCTTTCAATTCAAAATTTCCTAAAAAATATTTACTCTAGACAAAATTTGAAGCATTAAAATTTGAGGCCCCGAAATCTATGGGGCCCTAGGCAATTGCCTAGGGCAAATGCCCAAGGAACCGGCTCAGTTTCCAGGCGCACATCTATGTTACAAAGAACCCAACTATGCAGTTGTTCCGCATATAGAGATAAAGGAATGTTTGACAACACATAAGATTCCAGAATTCCTGCAATTAGGATAAAATGTGACGCTTTTACAGGCCTTGATTTATATCTATTTGTGGATCATCCTCCACCCGTCCATCGATAACACTATTCAATAATGCGGTTCGCAAGCATTCTTACCCAAGGTTAGCATGTTTTTCTGCTTTGTCAATGCTTAGTCAAATGATATCAGAGGTTATCCAAGCTTCAGGCAGCGGAAAGAATATAATTAAACATTGGTAAACAATTTAGTTAAGTTTCGACTAATTTTTAGTTTCCTGAATTTATAGTTTAATTTCTCTTTCAGTAATTAAAGGCCCGATATATGACCAAGGTCTATGTTACATCATTCCAATTCCTAGAATGAAAGGAACCTTTTTTCATAACCATAACAGATATGTGAAGGAATATTTCAGACCTAAGGTGATATTATGTCTATGTTTGATAGACAAAAAAGTTAGTTCATAGCTTATTTGATTAGCTTATAAGTTTCTTGTATTTGAGTAGCTTTTCAAATAAGCTCGTTGAAATTTTTATTTCAACTAGGTTATCAGCTAATTTTACCAAAACACCTTTATCATATAAGCCAGATTTTCAGCTATAAGTCATAAGTTATAAGCTAGCTTAACATTATCAGCTAGCTTAACAACTATCAGCAAGCTACCTAGTTTTACCAAACATAGCTTATATCTCTATTAGAGACTGACAGTTATTTGTGCTCATTCCTCCACACTCCTACTATGTAGTATGTAGCATCCACTTTGTAAAATGCATTCAACTTTAATGCAAGAAAGTAAGATCCTTGTTATTGTTGGGTAATGCAGGTGTTCCTAGCAAAGCCAAGGAGAACAGGAAGAGGAAATATAAAATGAACAAACATTTATTGGTTGTCCTTTCTCTTGTACGAGTGCATGGGCTGAATAATGTATGTCAGAATAAGCACGACAAACAAACACCAAATTTTCATGTTTAGTTGGCCAAGCCAAACTGCCATATCAAGAATACTAGTCTCAAAAAACATTGCAACCGAAGTCTCCAATCTTAGAAAATTTTTCAGAATGCATTTAAGCATGTTCAAGGCTTTCACAAGGACTTACCCAGAAAAGCAAAATAGTCTGTCATCAAATAGGCAGGTCTGGACTTCAGTAGATTCGATTCGCTCAGTATTTGATGATGGTGTCTGGGCAAACAATTGGATAGCAGCATCAAGAGGTCCATAACCAGCAGACAACAGAATAAATCTGTGCTTTGTGATACTCGAGACTTTTTCAATAACACGAAGAAATGCCTGGGGATTCCTCATGTAACCCATGCTGCATATTAGAAACTTATTTAACTGAAACAAGTCATGAAATGTATGTAAAGAGCCTAATAGTGAAGTAGCTAACTGTACATCTATAGTAACATATACTATAACTCACATTACATTCCCAAGTAACTCGACTGTTAAACAAAGATACTGAATCTAACCATAAATTTTTAAGTTTATACTACGATGGAATTATTTGAAGGGTTCTGATGGTATGCCTGATGCATCATCTGCTGTTGCCTGTAACTCAAGTTTTGGCAAATGCAACTGTTTCTGACAGAACAACCATGTACAGACAAAAAACTAACAAAAAAATCACCAACAAGCATCTATGCTGAATATGAATCTTCTTAAGCAATTAACATCTTAACAAATAATGGTCACTTTCACTATTAGATATGCACCTACATTCAAATAACCAAACATGGCGATTTATCGGGCCAAAAATAAAAAATAATAATAAATAATAAAAAAAGAAATTAATAAAATAATAATAAAAAGAAAAATTAAGCAGAACTTTAATTTATCAAGAAAGGTCTCACTCACCTACCAATGGAACTCAAACTGATGAAAATAGGCCGCTCTGCAGAAGAATCCAGAAATTTGTCTAACTTGGCATGCATTGAACATAACTCATTCTCAGCATTCAATTTCCTCAATGAAATTTCTGCACACTTGGAACAGGAGAACTGCCATTCAACAGGAGGAAACCAAAAGCCACAAACCCGAACTGCTGAAGGCCAGTAACCTAAAATGACACAAGAACATGTGTGATTATGAATCATCAAATTTTAATGTAAGAAAAAAGAAAATATAAATGAAACAAGGAAAAAAAAACAGAGAAGAGGAATAAAGACTACAATGATATGCCAGCAAGAATTCGTGTAAAGGTTTGGTTTAGTAAGATCTTTACAATAAACTAAAGATAAGTGAAGCCAATTGACAAAAGAAATAGTTTCCTTGGCCTTGGGAGCACAACAAAAATGATAATAAATATATCTTGATACAGCGTATAAGGACAAACAAATCCAACTTAGGAAAGTTGAGAAAGGAAACTAGAATCGCAAAATCAGCCTATCACTAGAAATATGCCTCCACAATGATGCTTGAGTCAAGCAACAGTTTCATGCTCTTGTTATTCGCTTTACAGTTGGAAGTTGACAGTCCGGAAACATAAACTTTACAGTAGAATATAAACCAAACGACTTTTTCCATATGTTGAATAACTTGGATGTAACGGGATTTATAAAATGTTGTCCTCTTAAAGCCATCATAGTATGGACTTACTCACAGAATCTATTTGAATATTTTTTAGCTCTTCCAAGATTACTTCTACACATGCACTCCAATTGTCAGATTTATATAAGATCCAAATAACCACATAAATATGCAATAAAAAGTATTAAGTGATTTCTTATTAAAATTTCTATGTTATGCACATGCCAAAAAATAAATAAAAACAAACAAACAAACTAACTAAGACCGTATCTCTGCAGAAAAGGAGTTGCTTGAAAATCCAAAAGACAGTGAAAAATTAAAGGTTTAGAAGCTGTTTAAAAACCATACTAAGAAGAAATTATTTCAATATACCGGGGCACTCAACAACTTCTTGGCTAAAGCCATACCTGTTGGATTCAAAGCCAGTAAAGGATAAGAACACAACTATAGAGAATTAGAGATGGATAAATATATAATATGTGACAGTAATCCAAAGAGATTGATAATACTTTTTATGCCCATTAGCAAGACGCTGCACACACATCAATTACAATATTCTTTCCAGTCTTGCAAGATAAAAAAGACTCGTTCGAAGTTCAAACACAGATTCACTAAACAATTCATACAAAATGAAAAAATTAATAGAAAATGGACCAAACGCTGACGTCAAACATGAATATAACAAGCCTGAGGAACATTGTTTAATATAATTTTCTTACAGTAGAATGGGAGAAGGAGGTCGAACATGCCAAGTTGGGAGGCCAGTTACTGGATCCTGAGTTAGAATCATGCAAGATGCAAACCATTATATTTGTAAAAGCCTCTAGTCACATAAATTATTTTAATCGACAAGCATGTAAGATAACAACCGTAAAAGGCCAGAAGCTCAATTGCAGCTCATGGCTTCTCCACGTTCCCCAATCTTCGGAGAAAAGTGGCCACATCCAGTGAGTAACATCTTCCCAACCAATCTATGATACGTATTTAGGACATAAAAACAAATAAAACTCCAGTGAGTAACATCTTCCCAACCAATCTATGATACGTATTTAGGACATAAAAACAAATAAAACTTGCTTAATCAATAAACTAGTACGAATCCCGTGCGATTATTTGTAAATTAAAAATACTCATTAAATAATATTTATAAATTAAAAATATAAAATCAATATGTAATACAATTTACATCTATTAATTTATTGGAAATGTTATATGAAATTTAAATTGTGCAAAATTACATAAAATATGTCTATTTAGAATTAGTACACAACTCGTACGGTGCACGTAACTGATAATAAATTATACTATATTCATTTCATAATAAGTGTCATTTTAAAAAATTTTATTCAGAAATTCGATTTGACTACAATGTGATTCCATAACATTATTATTTTGGAAAATTTTATCATATATTTAAAAAATCTATGTGAATAATAAGTATAATTGTAAAACTTATATTGTTTCATTAATTAAAATAAATTTGTTTTTGTACAAGCTAACCAAATCCAAAAATGTAGGTAGTTGCATAATTTAATAAACTATAAATAATTGACTATTCCATTTACGTCAAAGTTAATATTGGACCAATAAATACTTATTTGAATTTTAAATTTGGAACCCATATTTGGACTACCCATTAAATTCTCTTATGTATGTATATATATACATATATATATATATATATATATATATATATATATATATATATGTGTGTGTGTATGTATACATATATGTATATTATCTTGCAACTTTATAGATTTGTTGTCGGTTACTTTATCGTTCAAATTTATCAACTAATTCTCTATTAAATTTTATTAACCAATATTAGTTCAAAGATCTACTTTTTTTAAGAGGAATGCACACCAATTAGTCGAATTTTCATCACTTTCTTATGGCAACTTATTATGGGAATATGCTAAATTTGAAAATCATATCCCCTTGATTTTATAACAAATCAACCTAAAATTCGACTTGCATACCTTTACCAAAGAAAATTCATAGTACTTATTTTGTTTTCAAAATTTTCAAATACACTTCTATCTAAAACAATTAAATCTCATGTCATTAAATTCGAACATTTCATACCAAATAAAATCGTCCACTTTGTACCATAAACTCATATATTTGTTAATAATAACACATTTTCTACAAAACAAATAAAAAAAAAAAGGTCATCATATACCTCAAATAAAATTGTTCAATGTATACCACAAGGTCCAAAACCGAATTTATTAACTTTGTCAATTTTATTCCATAAATTGATCAATTAACTTTTAGAGGCGGAATTTTTTTAAAATTTTCAAAAAAGATTACCAAGTTTAGTTGTTTGATGGACCAAAATTGTTTAAAATTTTAATTAAGCCTACCAAAACTTAATGAGGTCAAAGTAGGGAATTAAATTTTGAAAGTAGTACATATAAAGACTTGAAAATGGACAAATATAAAAGAATTTCAAATTTAAATGCAAGAAATTATTTACCTTTTCCGAATAAGGAGATCATGATCTTACAAATATAGCCCTCATGAAAAAGTCAAATAATTCCGCCAATATATTTAAATTTGACTCATTAGCTTTCTAATATTCATGCGATTTGCTATCCTTCAAATTTTATCCTAAAATAACACAAGATTACAACTTCATATCATAAATGATATTTACTAATAACAACATATTTCCTTCTAAAAATAAAATGGTAATTAGATATCTCAAATAAAATCGTCCACTTTATACCAAAATCAGATTTCTTAATTTTATCAACTTTATACCATAAATTGATTAATTCATTTATAGAGGTGCGATTTTTTGATATTTTTTAAAAAATATTACTATGTTTAATATTTTTAAAAATTTAGGCAGAAATTTAGACTATATTTCAAGTAAACACAAACCATACACAGTTGTTTGAAGGTAGTTAGTAGTATTAACTATTAAGTTCTTTTAAATGATTATTTTCATCAAAGATGTCTATTTATCTTTGTTTATATTTGCAAGAATCGTTCAAATGTTTATCAGTAGATTGTTAATTTTTAAAATGAGGTTTTTTATGTTTACGTGATTTTTTTTTTTTCCAACGGCATAAAAATTCCCATAAAATGAAGCCATAATTAAGGCAATGTACACACGCAAGCCCGAATCCTGGGTTAATGAGAGGTTACAGACATCCAATGTAACCTAGACAAAATACAACGCCCGACAAATGGATAAAAAAACCACATCCAGGTCACTCCTACAAACTGAACACATCATAGACATACACAAAGATACATCACTCTGTTGCAAATTCTACATGATTTAGTTTTCAAGATTTTACACATTTTAATCAATATTTCAACTTCTACATATTTGAAACAAGAAACAAAATCGAAAACAAATTCCAAACATTAACAAAGTCGAATATCTATATGAACCACTAACTGTCAGTACGATATTTTTACTTGATTATTGAAATGAAATAAAATCGGATGAATATCATGATAATCATTCATATTTAAGATGAAGGATATTTTCCAAAATATCTTGATAATGAATTAGATTTTAAAAAATATATATTTTTCCAAATGATAATATATGTTTTCTTTACAAATTATATTGCAATAAAATTGGATCTCTCGGCCATTCACAAAATTAAATTTCCGGATGATGCTATGGAAATAAAGTAAGGACTCTCTGCCATAACTTTATTTTGCAAACATTATGTACAATCATTACAAATGGTATGTACAATATTTCTTTAAATGTCATATATAACATTTTAAACGGAATGTTAAACTTATAATCATTTAATATTATATAAAAAATATATTATACATTGACAATGCAACTAATATAGGTAATAGCAGCAAAATTTGACCAAAATAATTTTGTACATTAATTACATTGACTTTTTTTAATTTGAATTTTAAAAAACTTCAAAAAAATTACTACTAAAAGTAAAAAATTACTAATAAAGGTAAAAAATTAGGCGGGAATCCAGTTACTATTTCAGGTAAATGTCAAACATTTTTATATATATATAGATAGATATTAATAATAAGGGTAAATAATTTTTTCTACTATGCGTGCTTTTGAGGTTTTCAACCTAAAGTATTTTTTTGTTGTAAAATGCAACCTAAACTACATATATACAATTATTTGCACGCTCGACTACTTTTTGACCGTCCGATCATCTACAAAAAAGGACACGTGTATGGTCAAGATGTGGTCGAGCGTGCAAATAGTGACTGTATATGTAGTTCGGGTTGCATTTTACAACAAAAAGTACTTTAGGTTGAAAATTCAAAAAACACGTATAGTACAGGTTGGAAAAAATCATTTACCCTAATAATAATATAACCAACAATAGTATAACCATCCTCCAACCTGCCAGGGAGAACTTAAATGAGAACTCCTAAAAATGTTGGACCTTAAGACTTGCGTCTTTAGGAAATTCACCATGAAGAAAATCATAGTTAGATTCAAGTGGAGACAAGTAAAGCCAGAAAGATAAAGTTCACAGGCTATGAATGTAAAATATATTGCAGTATATCAGCAAAAAACTGAACAATACACGATATGCATACCTTGCCAATTGGAGCTTGTTGAAGATACTTGTACAAAAGAGGAAGTTCATTCCTAAATTGACGTTCAAAAGACGAAGGGGCACTGGATTATATAAAAAGGAAAAGTTACATCTCTTGATAATGTTTATAGTAAGATAATAATCAAGTGTCAAAACCCTAAATAAGAGAAACACGGTTTCTGACTGCAAAATGAAACTTCATATGTTTTTTTACAGTACTTCTGCATGCAAAGGTGCAATTATTTCACTTGTTGATGCACAGAGAAATACAAAGGCACACACACACAGAGACAATAAAAGAAGTACACAAACTAGACTATCCTGAGTACATCAAACTCTTTAAATGAACAATTACATATCTAGGTAACGTATTGCACCAGTGCATCAAATCTGGGAACTTCATCACTAAAACATAGCTCCTTAACTGGCAATAAGCTAAAAACTTTCCAACTTGATGATACCAGGAGATATCATGATTTACATTTTTTGTTAATGGGGACAGCCACTCAATTGTCTAAAGCTGTTTCAAATGACAATCAGATAATGCTGGGCATAACACTTCAAGTTACCCTACTTCCAAACTTCAAAACTTCAGAATTTGATCAAAAAAAAAAATTATTAATGAGAAATAGGACTACCGTAGCCAAGAGAAATTTATTTAGGTTAAGGAGTAAATTAAAATGTCTTTAAATAAGAATAATTTCATAGGTTTCTGGATTTGTAATTCTTATTTTAGGTGGTTTGGAATCAATACAGTTATAGAATTGTATGTTATCAGTAAAGAAGGAGAAAAGATATACATATGATAGTACTCGAAAAGAGAAAAAAATAATCATGGATTGGAATTTAGAGAGAGAGAAAAGATCCGCTCACATAACATTATCCTTATTTCGACCTACATTCCAGGCAAACAAAATAAATGATCAATATCAATCGCTTCATATTTCCAACAATTCCACAACAGATTTTCAACCAAACCTATTTTACTCAGTCAAGTGGAATAGAAGTGTGATGTAAAGTTTAATAGAAATACCTATATGGAACAACATATGGAGCAGCAACAACACACCGAATATCAAATAGTTCTGCAAGACTCCAACCTTCCTGAACATAAAAAACAAACTTTAATTTGGGAGTTCTTCCAAATATGCCTCATTCTAAGTGCTAGTGTCTACTCACGGCCTCTTAGCTAACAGAATAAACAAAGTGCCCATCATCTGATGAAGTTGATCTTCAGATCTAATTTATGTAGACAAAAAAGAGGGGAGAAGAAAAACATAAGACTTTGTGGATCACCACTTAAATTAAATTCACTATACAATAGCCATTGGGTCTAGAATTGGTAGTAGTATCTTGCAAAATTTTACAAAAGGTAGCATGCTAAATAGTGGATAGTTCCAGAAGTCAACTAAAGGTGATTTACGAAATGCCAACTGCATTCAACGCTCAACCAATGTGTGATTTGTAAATTCAGTAGATTGTATTACCTATGAAACAACAGCAAGACATTGGTCAGCAGACTATTGCAAAATTAATAGGTCACAATTCAAGAACTTCTAAAAATAATGTATCAGTCTGCAATAAACCTTAGTCTGAGCTTTTTGCAAATAATCCGTGTCCCGATCATTTAAGAAACCTGATAATTGACTCCCAATTAACATGCCTGCCATGCATTCTTTCACAATTGAAACAGATATTTTCTTTGGCAGCTTTCTTTCAGCTACCCACTTCATCATGTCAAAAGATTCACAGTTTTATAAGAAAAAAAAAAAAATGCAAACGAATTTGACAAGAAGTTACCAGTGCAAAGAAGTTTATGATAATAAGATCACCATCAATGGTCGGGGTTTCTCCATAGATACTTTCAACAACTAAAAGACATTCTTTCCTGTGTTTTCTCGTGATCTCATGCTTCTGCATAGAAAAAGACCCCTCCGTAGAGCCTGGTATATTAGATAAACATGGATGAAAAATTCACAAAAAGGCTTTATAACATAGTTCTTGTGATCCAATAAAAAAGGAAAAGAAAAGAAGTTGGGTAAAAAACATGTAGTCGCAGAGACCTCCAGTATTGTTGTTTTCTTGCACAGAAGATAGAGTGGGTGGCGAAAAAATTGGGAAATATTGAACTCCTTTTATTCCCAGATGACCACGCAGGTCCTGCAACCCATAATGAAGCTGCTAATTATAATGATATTAACAAATAAGATGTCAAACTCAAAGGACAATACAAGGGGGGGAAGAAAGAAACAAAAACGAAAACGAACTTTATTTCAAATTTTAAAACCACTAGCAAGACTCTTGTAAAGATTAAAATTAAACTTCATGATTTACTTCAATGAACTTGGCAAAGCTATTATTGCTCAAAACAATAATGTTTTGTGATTAGCATGATACAATCAGAGCCTCAAGTTGAGAAGGAGCTACATAAGTTTCAAAAAGGTGGGAGCAATTATCAGCTGCTCGATGATTGATTACGAATAATGCTACTTTACATCATGTAACACAGAGTCTGCAATTTGATTAGGTGTATAGGCTCATTAGTTCAAGATATCAAACTCATAGCTCAATGCCCCAATCATAAATTTCAAGCAGAATTTTAACTAGCTGCGGGAATTTAACATACACACTCACCGAGTGACCGAGACGTAGTTTCATATCTTTACACGCAGAATATCCACAATTAACTAAAATGAAAATAATACAGAAGAGGAAAAACAGAGGGAAAATAGATGAAGGAGAAGAACTGAAAGATAAGAATAGGTACCCGACCTCGTGAGCTGAATGGGTCACAAATGCGACTTCATACTGCTTCCGAGCAGAAGCAAAAGCTGCAGCTATGGCCTATGGGGATCAAAAGGAAGCAGAAAACCCATAAACAGTTCGTTAATAGTTAAAGGGTCAGTATTTGTTCGGGCATTGAATTGAATATATGAAGGAACGAAGAGTTACGGAGATCGGATAAACGTCGCCTTTGGTACCAAATGCCATAAATACGGCGATGGGATTCTTTCTCGTTGCTTCCGACGCCATTGACGGCGACGCCGGCGTGGTGATGTTCGCCGTATTCGACTAACTTTTTTTTTTCTTCAAGATAATAAAATGTTTGGAAACAAAATAAAAGAACAAAATAAGGTACTAATACCATCGAATACACGGAAAATTCGATCCTCCAGGTGGGGCAGTGCAGTCAGGGCCCCACCATCCTTGATTTCACACAGGTGTGTGTGTGTTTGTGTGTAAATCAAGAGCCCTTAGGGGCTGACTGCAGTGCCCCTAGGAGTAGGATCGAATTTACCCGAATACACATGTTTGCGTAAAAAAGTCTCAAAAAGTCAGTCCTACATGTTAATTCAAAACATGAGGTTAACTGGCACACTCTGGCTTACGTTTCGATTGTTGACATGGCGAAAATATGTTTTTATAATGTTGTTGTATATATATTCATTTCTTTATCTTGAGTTAGGTTTGGTATCAGACAAATAATTTTTTAAAACTTGGCAGGTTTACATTTAATTTTGTTATTTTTTTCTCTTAATATATATTTTCTTCTTAATTTTGACAAATAAAAATCTTACTATATTATAATTTTTTCTCATATTTCTCTCTTAAAATTAGGAGTTACAAATTATTTCTTGCACTGTCTATTTCTCTTTTTTTTCATCAATCAGTTCATCAAATTTTTAAATGAAAATTTTATTAGCAATAATTGTTATCATATATTTCTTAACCCAACATCATTTCTTTTCAACAATCAGTCCATTAAATGAAAAAAGAATTAGCAATAATTGTAATTATATATTTCTTAACTCCACACTCGTATAGTACACGGGTTTTGTACTAGTATTCTATATAATTCAAAAATATGGATGTTGTTCCTATTGCAGATGTGAGAAAGATGTTGAGACTATGGAGCATGTATTCTTCAGTTGTTCCAGAGCACGGATTGTTTGGAGAGTTACACATTTAAGCCGGAGTGGTTTGAGGAGAAGCAATCAGATTTCAGATTATTGTGGTGGGGTATCAGTTTGTTGGACACGAAGGCAATGTTAGAAGATATAATTCAGTTGACTACATACTCGCCATGGTGACTCTGGAAGTCAAGGAACATATAGAAATTCCAACATTTTCATGCCAGAGGCTGCTGCAGTAAGTGCAGACGTCAAAGAGTAGATGGAGTTTGCTGGTAGGAAGAACCCAGAGTGAAGACAAGCTCAAGACTCAGTGGCAAAACCATGTGGAAGGTTGGAGAGGCGCCGGCCCTCCCAAAAAAAAAATCGAACTAGAGGAGGGGGATTTTGTTGGAACTGAAAGGACATTGACGAGTGAGAGCAAGATCTAACTGTACATGTCTTTAATCAATTAATCGACCATGACATACCCATTTCAAGTCTCTTCTTCTTCTCTGTTGTTAGTGGAAAATTAGGGTTTTGGAGACGACGAATAAGCAGATGAAATGGAGAAAACCCTCGTCCACTTTATATATGTCCAAATTCAAGTTGGCCGTGGCCCAAAACAAAATTGAGCACATATACAAGAAGAGAAAAATAAAATAAAATGGCCCAATACCTCATATTTAGAATTGTCCTTATTTTTCATGAACTTGATAAGTTTTAAGCACGGAGTTTGCCATGATTTAATTATTGTATGTGTTGAATGTTGATAGAGTTCGTTAAATGAAATGAATTGCTGGTGAATTTGGCTCGACTCGTATCTCGACCAAACAAACTTTTCGAAGTCAAGTCATAAGTATTGGCGCAGTTCAGTCAAAGAGTTCCTTGTGAGTGAATATAAGGCTCGTTGAACGAGTTCGGGTCACTAAGATTTGATAAATATTTTTAACTTTTAGTTCCAACAAAATAATCATTATTCGGGTCACTAAGAGAGACGAAGTGACAAAGAAGACAAAGTGAAAATTTAGTTTTGTCGTGAAAATTTTTTTAAAGGCAAATTGGGCCCTCCCCGAAATGGGATCCTGATTTCGCCACTGTCAAGACTGGTTTGCTAGATCCATGGGGTTCAGTGGTGATCATTTCTTGTTGCTTCTGTTTGGTACCTACATCACTTTCTCTTGGTTGAAGTGTTGCTAGTTTGGTGTTGTTAAACCAAGAATTCAGCCCTCCCTACTGTCTTTGGTTTATTCTAGTAGTTTATGTGTAGTTGTGTGTTGTATTGTTTTTTTCTTTGTTAGATTTGGTTTGGTTTTATTCTAGAGCACCCGTGGGGCGACCTCTTGTATTAGTTTGCGGTTTTCTAGCTAGCTAGCCAGCCCTTCGATTCTAGGGCACCCCGATGTGATTA